ATTTTTAGAGGATTTTACTAAGAAATTTCATGATTATCTTATTACTCATGTAAAAATTGATTTTTTCAGAGCTTTAAGTTTGGCAAATGAAAGGAAAGAAGGTGAGAATAATGCAAAATGTGTTTGTACAACATTTAAAAAGAATTTGCCCGTGTTACCATATTCTCTGATATGGCATGCACTTACGTTAATAAAAACTATGTGCTAATTATGAAAGGGAGATCCATAGTACTAATAGAGAACAGGAATAAAGAAGAGTTCTCTCAGACTCCTGACAGCCATTTACCAGAAGAATACGCTTATGCAGAATTGTAAATAACTCACTTTTTAGAATCATAATATGTTAAAACTAAAAGAAATTTTAGAAATCGTGTAATCCCAAGCCCTCCTTTTGCACATTAAATAGCTGGACAGTTAGAACTTTCTGGTTTTTACTGCCTATTGGTAGAAACCGAACGTGTGAAAATAGCATGAAGGTTTGGTATTCAGTCTCTATTTTTGCTAACGTGTGTTACAATTTTAAGAGTAACACAAGAGAAGGATCGTTACCTGGGGAAGGCTGGATGACCACCTGGTTGACAGTCTTGGGGCAGTACCTAGGTATGATCATCATGTGCGAGGTTTGATTCTCAGCTTATAAAGCTGAAGAATTCAATGTTGTTAGTGTATTGTAGATGGTGGGGCCCCGAGGACTGACCCACGTTAATAACACTCACGAGAGACTGATGTGTAAACTGGGATGCCAGTTTATCTGTTTACAATGAGAAAATTATTAAGCAGACCAAATATCTTCGTTTATGGATGACTCTATTTTCACCCTGAAGGCAAATATATGTGGAGAGCTCTTATTATAATTAGAAGGGTTCCTGGTGAGTAGGAAATCAGATGGAAGGTTCTGTGTTGGAGGATCTTAATCACTATGTCATTGCTACGTCTTTCTCTGCCACTAGGACAGGCCTGCTATGGACTGGTATTCTTGCCTTTGGGCAGGACTGGAAGCATGTGACACTGATGTTTTAGTCTGAAAATGTTTAAGGGACTGCATTTATCTTCTAAACTCATAATTTGTAGACTCAGTGTAATCCATGCATTTTTCTGTTGGCACATCCAGTGTAATTGCTTAGGTTTGAGTTTTCTTAAGTTGAATCACCTTCCAGTTAAGCTTGTCTCTGTGAGATTACACTTGGGTCTTTGGATAAATGTTGGATAATTTCTACAGGTGGCTGATCATGATTGTAGTTCTTGATAATTTGTTCGAGATTTCATTCTTAGGGAGTAAAAATCCATATGTATTCAAGGGTGGCTGGTACTTGGGTGTTGGTTATATTGTTGTCTGTATTTTCGGGAGTTTAAAAATTTATCAGAATAAAAAAGAGTCCATATGTGAAAAAGATTTCTTAGACAACCATATAATAGAGCCTTTTTCTATTTGAATAATACATAGGACATAACCTTTGCTTTCAAGTAGGGGAAAAGGACAACTTAAAACAATTAAATTAAAACAACTATATGGTAGGGTATTATATGTCATTATTCATGAGGATGGTATAGTTACGATGCTAGAGGTCGGAGAGACATCACCTACAATAGATGGAGAGGTAAGTTTTGGAAAACTTTCTAGGTGAGGGAGCATTTAGGTTAAACTTTGGAAAATATGGGACAAGTAATAAAAGTGTAAGGGATAGGGCTTAGCAGTCTGAACAGTTAGATCCATCCTTGTCTGTATAGCCAGTGCCTATATATATATTTATATATATTTATATTTGTTTTTATTTAGTTATTTACTTGCTTACATTTTCATTTTCATTTTATTTTGTTAGGAAGGAAGTGAAGGACAGGTGTTGGTCCTTGGGGCCACAAATCGCCCTCATGCTTTGGATGCCGCACTCCGAAGACCTGGACGATTTGATAAAGAGATTGAAATTGGAGTTCCTAATGCTCAGGACCGGCTAGATATCCTCCAGAAACTGCTGCAAAGAGTTCCCCATTTGCTCACTGAAGGTGAACTGCTACAGCTGGCCAATAGTGCTCATGGATATGTTGGAGCAGACTTGAAAGCTTTGTGTAATGAAGCAGGTGAGAGTGATTTGCTATAGCAAGTCTGTATTGATGGACTTAATAACTCTGGTTTATTTACATGCTGATAATTTATATATCACTTATTTCTTAATGGAAATAGCTAATTTTTCTAATCATAAAATATATGTTTATTGAAAAGAACCTAGATAATTCAGAAAACTGTAAAAAAAATAAAAATCACTCTTAATCCTGGCTCCTAAAGATAACTACTATTGTAGCATGTATACCTTCAGACTTTTCCTAAGTATACACACACCCACATACACATGTACATGCACACACACATGTAAACGGATCCATTAATGGCAGTATTCATGATGATAGTGTTTATTGATATTGTGCCCTGGAAATTAGGGAGAAGTGCCTGTAGGAGGATCAGAATTTTCCTTAAGGAGCAGTTTTGTATTTGTTGAAGTGCTGAAAAAGTACTTAGTGAAACCTAAGAATTCGATGCCTCAGAGTATGTGACAGTGATGTTTAAGTCTGAAAATGTTTAAGGGCTGTTGAAATAATCATTTGACTCCTTGACTTTAAGAACTTCACCATGGCATAAGTGTAGTTACTTTGGAAGCCCTTAAGACCTGTTGACCTTTGTGTAAGATTAATTTTTCAGAGTAATTTCAACCATGGAAAATGTATTCACATCAGAGCAGTTTTTTTAAGCTATTGAAATATTTGATCAGGCAAGTAAGAATTTACTGAAAAATAGCTGATAGTCTTTTTTTTTTGTCCTGAGAGAATGGGTTTATTTCTGGTAACCTCTAAAGGCTGGTCACATACCTCAAAGCATCTCTTGTTTGCCAGTAATCTTAGGTTCCTTAAGTTGATTCCCTCGTTTTGTGTGGGCATATGTTTCTAAGTCCTTTTTGTTCTTTGGAGGAATTTTTTTAAGTTGTGGCATTCTGTTTTTCCAGTTTGTGACCTATCCCAATGTTTCATAAGGTGCTTTAAAGAAAGTTTAACCCTCGTAGGTAATAGAAGAAATGAAAATCTTGAGTTGGAAATTTAGTTAGAAAATTTAGCATAGAAATATGGTAACTTTTACCTCCAAATCATTGATTCATAGTTAATCTAATTTAGTAGGCTTTGAAGACCTTTCCATTAGCCCTTTCATCCTAATCTGGCCTGATTTGTGCAGGAAAAGAGGTTAGAGAAGGAAAAACAGATAGAGAAGAAAACTTGGAAGAGATATTTAGGAGTCTTTGAATATCTTCCTCTTGGTGGAGAAAAGGAGTTTTGTTTCATTCTGTTTGATCATTATCACAATTTCCATGTTAGAAGACTCACAGGTGGGGAGACTACAGGTTATGTAAACTACAAGCCAAATATAAACAGTCTCCTGATACATTATGGTCTAGGACAAGGTCCCTCTCTGTCTAGTTTCTTGTGCTTCACGAGATATGGTGGGCTTGATCATGGTAATGAATTCCCTAAGTGATCAAGAAGCAGAAGTATCAGTGGATAACTTTGCTTCCTTCATTCCATTGGGTGATAATGAAGAGTCTGAATTACTATGTAGGCATTGCTTTTGGATTTGCCCATGGCATCTAGGCAAGGATTCAATCTTCAACAACCTTTATCAGACATTTTTTGACTTTCTATTATATTTCATGTACTCTAGAAGGCTCTGGGATTCTTGCTCTTCAGAAACACGCTATCTGATGAGGGAAAGAAATTTGTAAACAACTTCTTTTTTTTTTTTTTTTTGTGAGGAAGATCAGCCCTGAGCTAACATCCGTGCTAATCCTCCTTGTTTTGCTGAGGAAGACCGGCTCTGGGCTAACATCTGTTGCCAATCCTCCTCCTTTTTTTTTTTTCCCCCCAAAGCCCCAGTAGATAGTTGCATGTCATGGTCGCACATTCTTCTAGTTGCTGTATGTGGGACGCGGCCTCAGCGTGGCCGGAGAAGCGGTACATCGGTGCACGCCTGGGATCCGAACCCGGGCTGCCAACAGCAGAGCATGCGCACCCAACCGCTAAGCCACGGGTCCGGCCCGTGTAACCAACTTCTTATACAGTGAGATATGTACTCATAAAACTGTGGAAAATGTAGTGACTTCCCCTATGGAGGAAGGAAATGCTATGGTTATGTAGAAAAAGTGACATCTAAGAAGCTTAAAGAGAAAGTAGGGGTTCTACAGGCAGAATGAGGAGTGTGAGAAGGTGGGAAAGGGAAAACATTCTTGCATCTAATCCTCACACTGATCCTGTGATGTAAGTATCAGATAGAGTCAAGAGAGATCTCACAGCTAGTATTAAACTAGAACTTAACTCAAGGTCATCTTATTCCAAATCCATCCTCTTAGTCAAAATTAAATCGTAAAGCAAAGATTTTTGTCGGAGCGGTATAAGGCTTTTTGATTTAATTTTAGTCTGTGAAGCTAAGGGTTGAATCAATGTATAAAGTAGAAAATATCCATATCTCTTCACAGTAAGTAGAGTCCACAAATTAAGCTGTGTCCTGAGACTTTTAGGGGAAAAGTGAACATGTAATCCACATACTAGAAATAAATGGCACCATTTACTTTCATGGGCACTGTAATATTCCCAGAACCTTAGGAAAATGGCAAGAAAATTTGAGAAATTCTACCCCTTACTATGTTACATTTAATTGAAAAAGTTGTGAAAGGATCAGAAGGTAGGGTGGAGAGAGGCCTTCAATATTAAGATGTGTATATGTAAGTATAAAGGATGTACTTGGTACATACAAGCAGTAAATAAATATTAATTGTTGTTAATGTGACTTAGTAATAATTTCAAATTATCAAGTATTGAACTGATATTCTATTTTTCTCTAATCTAGCAATGAATCAGACTATGAGAATGTAATTTTTAAAAAGATTAGTGTTATAATTAAAAGTGTCCAGTAAGGAAAATATATTTGTGTGGTTTTGTGTATACTGTCTTAAATACTAGTGTATGTTGTGTTATGTAGTGTCATTCTCTAACTTTATATAGCAGAATAAAGTTTAAGAGTAGTGTGCTCGAATTTTTTGCAAGGGATTTTTCTGAAGAGGCACAGGGGTATAGTAGAAAATGGATTTTGAGAGTTGGACAGACCTGCCTTTAAAATCAGGCTTGTGATCTTGGGCAAGTTCTTTGCTTTATCTGCACTTTAGTTTTCTCCATTTGTAAATTGAGGGGGTTGTGGTAGATGATCTCTGAGTTCCCTTGTAAATATGACATTCCCTGGACATAAGGGAGAACAGAAAGAAAAGGCGGGGGTGCGGGGCTGGGCAGGGGTGGTGGTGGGGTGGAGAAAGGATAGGAAGAATTAGAAAAAGGAAAGGGGGAAATAACAAATACCCAAGTTACTCACTGATCCTGACTTAGCCTCAGCTACTTTCATACACCTGGCCTTTCTGTACTTCATTGTCTTCTTTTTTGTACCTGTTTGTTTGAATGACTTAAACTTAGGTGGTTAGTCAGGGCTTTGTTATAAATAAAAAGAATTGAACATTTAATGTTGCATCCTACCTAGATTTAGAGGAGTTATTAGACGATAATTTGAATGGCTCTCAGTCTTTTAAAATGACTGCCTAGGGAAGTTTGAATTGGTGCTTTTTTTTTTTTAACATGTTACGTTTCCTTGGGCAGGTGGAAGCAGTCACAATCATTACATTGACTTTAAAATTACAGTTAGAATCATTGTGTTTGAACAAGAGTCATGGTATTGTCTTAATATGTAGAGGCACTATTAGTGATTTCTGGTACATAATAGGTGCTCAATAAGTATTTGATATGAGAACTATATGTGAAAGCTGGGAGACATAATTACCACCCCACTCCCCTTGGTAGAGTAATAAAAATGTTTATTAACCTCAGAGTTGGGTTTAGTTTTGTTTTTAAACCTCTGGTGAGAGTCATCTCCTTCTTTCCACTGGTGCTTGCAGAAACTCCTGCTCTGTGTTGAAGAAACAGCTCCAAGTGGTTATTGCTACCTTTATAGGTATACGGATTTGCAAAAGCTGTAAAAACGTAACAAGGGATCCTGGAAATTCCTGCTATGGGCCTTCAGATTCTTTCCCACTCTGAGGTCCTGGTTCTATGATCCTAGGCTCTTATATATAGAGGTACTCTATTTTATACAACGAATGCTATTCTTGGTCTAGGCCAACCAGCTCTCTGATTTTTGAAGATTCTCTGTAACTGATTTAAATAACTGGATTAGATTTAGGGAATGTAATTCTCTGACTACCTCTGATAGAGTTGAGTTTCTTTCCAGAGTTTTTATGTGATAGTAATGTACTATTCCAAACTATTATCATTTAACCCTCCCACTCTAGGAGACAATGAGTGTCCGAGTTTGTCTTGCAGGTATGTATAATGGTTCTGAATAAAATTTAAAAATGACGGATAATTCCGAAGGATAGAAAAGCCACAATTAAGGAAACAATTCTTAACCACCAGTTAACAAAGAACAATGGTTCTTAACAATTCTTAACCACCAGTTAAGAATTAATGATTAAGAATACAAATAAGAATATAGATGTGTTTTTCCTAGAACATTTGCTTGTTTATGATTTGTGGACCTGTGTGTTCTTTGAGCTTTTTGTGTGTTGCTGTCAGATGGTTTTCCTTCTTGCTGGACTGCCTTCTAGTTGGAGAAGCTCTGCCCTTTTAACAAAAAGTGGTGCACAGATGTCTAGTAGTAGCATACATTGAAGTGATTCAGAATTTCATGAAACCTAAGTGAACTACGTTCCTGATTGTTTTTGTAATCTAAATGTTTTTGTTTGTGGGATACTAATACAAAAGATCAAAATCCTTGTAGTATATATTTATTTTTGCATGCTTTTCCAGAGGATAGAAGGTTTACAGTTTGTTCCATAGTTTGTAAGGGTGATACTGCATCTTTTGCACTGTGCTTACTCTCAGTTTTTCTATTCTTTTATGCCACTGTTACTAAATATTTTCCGTATCTTTTAACTTTCTCTCCATAATGAATATGAAAGTTGGAAATACTACAGTAGTGTTGCTTTCAACACTTGGATCTCTTATTATCTGAGCAGATAAAACGTTCAGTGTTGAGGGTTGGGCGTGAAACTTATTTTCAAATATTATGTTTTCTTTATAATTAATTTTTGAGCTAGAGTGTGGTTTGATATGTCGTGACTTGTCCAAAGGCCTAATGTTTTGTAGCTCACCTTTTTAAGCAAAGAGCAGCTGAATTTTGAAATGTTTTATCTCAAGTGGACAAGCTGTTTACAAGCTCGACTCTGACACATCCTGACATTTAATGTCTATGTTTGTATTCCTCCTGGGATTAGGCTGCCTTTCTAATTAATTAGTTGCATAGCCTTTTATTAATTCCCTCAAAATTTATAATGTTTTAAGTTAACAACATAGATAAGCATACCACAGTTTTTTGGAAAACATGAAATGTTAATTATGTAGCAGAGACATGAATTATATAAACTCTGCTGAATGTTAGAAGATGCTTAGCAACAGTGTTTTCCAAATATAGGGATTTATTATAAACTTATCCTTCTAAGGCTGCCTGTGCCATTTCAGGAGAGTGAATATAAATAGAGCTTGATTTCTTCAAGAAGTGAACTCAGTCATTTTGTTTACAGTGAAAGGAAGTATTTGCTTCACATCTTTAAGAATTTATCTTTAGCATCCTTGTTGATTTCACATCATTTCAACATGTTCATACAAAATACTTGGGCCTTGATAAGATAGCATCGCAGAACAGGAAGAATTAAAACTCTTATTTAAACAATGATTTTGTCATTATAACACTTAAGTAGGTCTAGTAACAATACTGAATCTAATTACTATAACATAACTTTTTTGAGATGGAAAATTTTATCTGTCTTGTACCAGAGTTCTGAGATATTTATAGCTGTTAGCCCTTCCTCTCACCCTCATTAGCTTATTTTAACAGGAATTTATGGAGGATCTACTATGTGCAAAATACATAACAGTCCAGCTCTCATGAAAGGTTCTCTTTCCAACATTTTCCACCTTTTTTGAATTCTGTCAATGTTGTTTTCTAAGTTAGAATTAAAATACTGATCCTGCAAAAATTTAGTATTTTTTAATAAAGTCCAGGGAAATAGTGGGGTTTAGTGGAAAGCTTATGGTGAGCTCTAGATTCAAATGCTAGCACTGCCCTTGATCAGCTGAGAGACATTGGACAAGCCATTTAACCACTTGAACTCTGCTTTCTCACCTGCTAAATAGGGATAACATATCTTTTAAGAGTTCTTATGAAGTTTAGAAACGTAGTCTGGCAGCAGTGGTCATGGTTTATACAAACCCTTGTTAAATGTCACGTTCTCTTTTTTTAAAAAAAAAAATTTATATTTTATGAGTATTTATGCATTTCTCTGGTGGAAGCTTATTTGAATTTTGACAGTATTCCTGATATTTTATGAAGTATTTTGGTTATGCTAGTACAAGAGATATCAGGGAAAACTGGCAGAATCCTTTACCTTGCTAGAGTAGTGATTTTTACTGAATCTGAATCAGTAAAAGTCTCACCTAGCAATAAGAATTTGCAGACTAGAGGTAGATATGGCTTGTTTTGGAGGTGCCTACCTGATAGATTTTCTTGCTGAACTTGGGAGCTCTCACGTCATACGTTGGCAGAATCAGTCTCTTCCCTCTCCTACCCTCCTTGCCATACATGTGAGTCTACCGTAGGCCTGCAGTAGAGCAACAAAATTAAATTGATGTATGTATCACAGTTATCACTCTAATTAATATATTTTATAAGGGATCATATCTTTATTTATGATTGTAGCTGGATAAATAAGCAGTTATGCAATATAATATCTCATAAAACAGTGAATTTTCCCCTCTGTTTTGTAATTCTGAAATATGATAGTTATATTTGTGATGGGATTTATCCTACTGCATAATTATTATGGATATTATATAAGAAATCAAAATTTTTTTTGTCAGTGAATTCGGTATCTTAATATTACTTTTACTGTTCGTTTGAGATGACTGGAGCTGAGTGGTTTGTTTCAGAAAAACAGGTGGTGGTTTTGATTCTGTTTAAGCTCTAAGTGATATATACCATTTACTTTGCTAGTGGAAAATTTTCTGAGTTGCTTGCCAAGACTATAAAAGTATAAAACTTAAGGAAATGTTTTCTTTCTAATTAAAACAATCACAAAAATAAAATCAGTCTTATCTAAATACAAGTTATTTCTAAGACTTATTCTTGATTCTTTTTTTATTGACTCTTCCTTTATCAAATCCTTTTAGCTCTGTTTTCAAAATTTATTCAGAATTTAACCTTTTAAAAAATTTTAAACTATTTTCACTGCTCTTGTCTAGACTATTGCCATTATCTTCTTCCTGCCTGCTCTATCCCCCACTTCCCACCCCTCTTTATTTTTTACATTGTCTAAGGTGCAGGACTTGGAATTGGAGGTTTTGGAAATGGGGAGAGTCTGGGTGAGAGATACAGACTTTGAAGTTGTTAGCAGTTAGATAGTGACTGAAGCCATTGAAATGAATGAGATCCCTGAGAGAGAGTGAGTAGAGTTCATTTATTCATTCGTTCATTGAGCGAGGCACTGCACTGGGTGCTGGGGCTACCTCAGTGAATAAGACAGACTTGGACCCTCTCCTCTTAGAGCTCAAGATGCACAGGGAAGTTCAGCAGTTTTAATAGGTAATTACAGTGTGTCGGGTATTTGTGAATGATCAGGGAGGTTTTAGAATGCTAATGAGGAGAGAAGAGGGGTTCTGAAGAACACCATTTAAAGGTTGGGTTGTTAGCAAAGATCTGGTATAAGAGACTGAGGAGTGGCTAGAGACATGGGAGGAGAACCCAAAGAACACGGTAACAAATGAAATGAGGGAAGATTTCAGGGAGGAAGTAATTAGAAATAATGTAGAAACCACTGATCAAGTACTTGCAATGTGTAGGCCACTGTTTGAAGTGCCTTACATGTGTTAATGCATTTCTTACAGCATCTCTATGAGGTTATGTTCATTTTATGGCTGAGGAAACTTAGGTCAGAGAGGTTAAAGAACTTTCCCAAGATCACACAGGAAATAAATAGTGAAGCCAGGAACCACAGTACTAGAGACCACAGTGACATCAAGTGCTTAGTTTCTTACCTGGGAGGTCATGGGGGCCTTGGAAGAGAGTAGTTATAGTGGGGTCCTGTGGCTAGCTGCTAAATTGCAATAAATTGAGGGGTGATTGAAAGTTGAGAAAACAGAGATAGTGATTGTCTTACTTTTTCAATTTTGACGGTGTATTATCATTTAGGGTTTTTGTACCCTCTATAAAAAGGGATAAATAGAGTTGGCCCACCCTCTCCCTTTGCCACATCTGTGCCCCCCTCCCCTCCTCAGGTGAAAGCCAGATGAGATTATATTCCTTCATTATTTTCCTGGTTCCTCTTCTCTTACCTGGGCCTTGCTCTAGTCTACCAAGCCATAGATCTTCAGCCTTTTCCTGGCATAAGAATTGTGCTCTAATCAACTATCCATTTTTTAAAACTCAGCATTTTGTAGTGTTGGTAAGCCAGGTAAGTAAATAATTTGATCTTAAAAATTGGAAACTTAAAGCTATATTTTTAGGAAAGTTTATTGAAACCCAGGACTGGCGAAGTGTATTAATCCTGATGTTTTAGAACTAGAAGACCCTCTCAGAAATCATTTAGTATGTTCCCTTATTTCATAGACAAGGACAGACTTTGTGATATGTCCAAGCTCAGTTAGTCAAGTCTTGGCCAAGATTCAGGTCTTGAGACCAGTGTGCCTTCCGTAGTGCCTTTTAAAAGCAACTTTTGAAAGTGATGGGGGTTCAGAATAGACCTGGCTCCTCTGATCAGTTTAAGTTACACCAGTCACTTGTAATATAAATAAAGTGAGAACCACAATACCCTCTTTGAGGGTGTTCTGTTTGATTTCTTTTCTATTAATGAGCAATGAGAACTCTCCCAGTGATGTATCAACTGGTACTTATCATCTTGTTTGTACTTAATACTGAGTTGAGGGAGAGTGACGACTCCAGATAAAACAAATTTTCTGGAGTTCTGATATTTTGAGGAAAGTCCATTTTAAAAAGGGAGACTTAGATTTTGTTATGCGTGTTTTCAGTCTTCATGTGCCTGAGTATATTATTAGAAAATTTTATGCTCAACTTTTACAGTTCAAATCTGAGATCCAGATGCCCATGTTTCATGTTACTTCTTCACATAATGAAGTGTCTGTAGGGTAGTCATAATTCTAAAAGAATTATTGCTCCTGTGATCAGTTTAAGTTCATTGCTAGTTTCTAATGAAGGAACTTAATTGCAGTATCAAAAATAACATCACAATTTAGCAAGCATCAAATATAAAATAGTAGGATTCTATGTGTGTGGGGCAAGATGATGTTTGTTGATTGAATCTGGAGCAGTTGGCTTTGAAGAGCATGAATTTAGAGTAATTGCCCTTGTCCAGAAGTGATTATATCTGGAGACTGATGTGAGGCTTGAGGGGGAACATGTCATATACTGGAAAAAATGTGTTGGCATTAGGCTTGCCTGAGGCATTTTGCCTTTTCTTCTATTCGTTGCATCTTATTTTCCATTCTCAAAACTTTGGAAAATAAAATAATGAAAACAAAATGACATTTATTGTTAAATTAGCTACGCCTGTTTTTTGTTTCAAAGTTGTGTTTCTTAAGAACATAGGAGTATTGCTTCTGTTTTTGTTTACATTTTAAAAATTAACTTTAAACTTAATGACAGGAAATGTTATAGATTGCTTGCCCTAAGCTGTATTCCTTGATGATGTACATGTGTCCATTTGCTCATCTAATTAATTGTTTACTTCTGGTTTATAAAAATATATGTATTTTTAAAAATTTAATTTCTTGGCATAGATTCTAGTATGGCCTCATTAGGAATGGTTGATGTCTAATAATTTAAGCTTAGCATCGTAGAATTTTAAAGCTGAAAAACTAATTTAGAGAAGATATGTTTTAATCTTTCCATATAGTAAATGAGATAACTGATGGCCAAAGACACTTATTTAAAGTGACATCTGAGCTAGTGGCAGGTCTAGGACCATGAAGGATTGTTTGCATTAACATGATAGCTCCAGGGATCTTTAATTTTTGTAAGCTCTTATATACATTTAACATTTAATTCATGTAAATTCTGTTTCAACTTATACATTATTTTCAAGAATAGCATTTGTTGTATAAAATAGAGTACCTCTATATAGAGCCTAGAATCATAGAACCAGGACCTCAGAGTGTGAAGGAATCTGAAGGCCTATGGCAGGAATTTCCAGGATCCCCTGTTACGTTTTTACTGCTTTTGCGAATCTGTGATCTTCCATATTATTCTTTTCCCTTTCTGACAGTCTGCTATACTTTTATCTTCTCACATATTTACAAACAAATTAATAGAGTTGGATTTAGATTTAAGACATGTTCTTTCATATTTGTAAGAGTGAACTCTCTAAGGACAGGGATTTTGTCTTTTATTGTTCTATAGAGCCTCGTAATCTTATTCTTGTCCCTAGGCTTTTATATATGCTGTTCCCTCTGCCTGGAATACCGTGCTGCCTCTTTGGCCTCAATTCTCATTTTATCAGTTTAACATCAACTGATTTTTCAGGTCTGACTACTTGAGCTTGGGCACACATCTTGTTCTCTTCATTTGTGAAATAAAGAAATATACCAAATGAGTGCTGCAAGGGTTTTCTAACTCTAAACTGTCACTAATCCTACTAAACTGGGTTAGATGTGTTTTTGTGACACTTTGTTCTTTCCATGTCATAATACTTGACACAGTTTATAATAATTACCTATTATGTGTCTCCTCTGTTAGACTGTTAGCGCTATGAGAGGTTTATTTGCCTTCTTGCTCTTGCATACCCTGGCGTGTAGGAGCTCAATACATTTGTCGAATAAACTAATTATATCTAGGAGATTCTAGTGAATATTTTGAGTGAATGAATAGATGAGTTAATATTGAAGAAGAGTGCCTATGAAAGAGTAACCTGTGGTCAATGAATATATCTTCTCAGTGGCTTCATGATATGATATTTTAATAGTTGCTTTGCTGTAATATGAATTGTAACTGAGTTGGCAGGTAATACAGGTACAGAAGAGTGGTTCTCTTATTGAAAACTGTTCTTTAAAAATAATTTCGTATTAATTAACATGACTAACTCTCTTATCTCTCCTCAAGTCCTATTCTTTTCTCATTTACTCAAACCCCTACCCCCATACCAAATGTATCCATTTGTATAAACATATTCTGGCAAATAAAAATTCTTTGTGAGGACTGTAAATCATTTACACAATCCCTATTTTGCATACTAGTATATTTCACACACTAGTTAACCTAGTAAATATGTCCTGCAATGATTCCAAGCCTGATTAGGGTTTCTATATAGACATTTATTCACAGAACCATTTTTATGGGTTTCTTTTCCTGTGTCAGCACAGTTTTAATTATTCTAATAACAGAGTGCTATAAATAAAAATTAATACTTCCATGCTTTAGCAATAAAATATTAAGGGGTAAACTTCATTGTATATATATGGATGCTTAGATTTGAGGTAAGAAAATATCATTTTAAACTTCAGTTTATAATTTCTGAAACTATCAGCTCTCAATGTTATTTAAACCACCTTCTGTGTTGGGGTTTTGTTTATAGTTTTTTTTTTCCCCTTTTACTTCACTTTTTACATATTCTACTTTTTAATAAACTGCTTTCTGAAATATTACATATGTACAGAAAAGTGTGTAAACTGTAAGATCCATGAATTTTCCAAAGTAAATACACCTATATAACCACCATTCAGGTCAAGATACAGAGCATTACTAGTGCCCTGGAACCTCCATCAGGTCCTCCTCCAACCCAAAAGGCAACCACTCCTCTTGCTTCTAACACCACAGGTTAATTAGCTTTCCTGTTTTGTACTGTCTTTCAGTCATATTATGGTTTGAGAGCTTTATCAGTTTATTCTGTGTAGCAATAGTACATTTTTTTTTTTTAAAGATTTTATTTATTTTTATTTTTTCCCCCCAAAGCCACAGTCTTTAGTTGTATGTCATAGCTGCACATTCTTCTAGTTGCTGTATGTGGGACACGGCCTCAGCGTGGCCGGAGAAGCGGTGCGTTGGTGCGCGCCCAGGATCCCAACCCGGGCCGCCAGCAGCAGAGCGCGAGCACTTAACCACCAAGCCACGGGGCCGGCCCCATCAATAGTACATTTTTATTGCTGTATTGTATTGTATAAATATTACGAATAATGATGCCATGAATATTCTTGCACATAACTTTTGGTACACAAATGTACTCGTTGTTGCTATATATCTAGGAGTGGAATTGGGTTATAGGATTTGTGTGTGTTCTTGATAGTTAATACTACCAAAAGTTTTCTGTAGTAATTGCATCAATTTACTTTTCTATCAGTAGTGTGTGAAAGTTCCAGTTTCTTATCACCCTTGCCAACATTTGGTGAGTTTTTAGCAGATTTTCATTGTGGTTTTAGTTCTCTGATGACTGGGTTGAGTACCTTTTTATATATGTATGGACCATTTAGATATCCTCCTTTGTGACATGCCTATTCAAATATCTATTCAACATTTCTATTGTGTTGCTTTTTAAAAAAATAATTGCTTTGTGGGAGTTCTTAATATAGTTTGGTTATGAGACCTTTGTTGGATATATATATTTTAAATATCTTCTCCTACTATGTGGTATGCATTTTTACTCTTCATCGTGTCTTTTGAGGAACAGAAGTTTGTAACTCTATATAATATATTTATTATAATATATTTAAAGATAATGAATCCAATTTATCAATCTTCCTTTGCAGCTCGTGATTTTGTATCCTGTTTAAGAAATCTATGTCAGTTCCACTGTCATGAATATGTTCTCTTATATTCTCTTCTTTCATTCTAAAGATGCTTTTATTGTCTTTCCTTTCATATTACCATCTATAATTGATTCACTTGTTTACATGTATGTAATCAGTTGTACTAGCACCAGTTAAAGAAATGACCATCTATTCTTCTTTGCTCTACAGTGTTACTTTTGTCATAAATCAAGAGTTTGAGTTAGTTCTGAATTCTCTGTTCTATTTCATTATCTCTTTATGCTTTGGCAAAATACCAAAATGTCATTAATGACTTTAGCCTTATTAAAAGTGGTAAGTGGAGGATAAGTGCTCCTTTTTTTTTCTTCTTCGTCAAGGTTGTCTTGACTATTCTTGGCCCTTGGCAGTGCTTCGAACTTTAAAAGTCAACTTGTTAGGCTTTCCTTCCTCGCCCACACTAGCTTTTGATTGGGCTTGTTAAATTTCTTGATCAATTTGGAGAGAATGAGAAAGCTAACATCTTGCAATTCATGAAGATGGTAGATCCCTTTGTTTATTTTAGGTCTTTAATTTCTCTCAGAGTTTTATAGTCTTATGTGAAGAAGTCTTACATAATGTTCATTAGATTTATTCTTTGGTATTTAGATTTATTTGAAAGTAGTTATAAATGGCATCTTTTAAAATTTCACTGTATAATTTTTTTTGCTGGTATCTAGAAAAAGTAAATTTTTGTGTATTGCCTTTGTGTCTACCTACCTTGCTAAATTCACTTATTAATTTTAATAGTGTATATGTAGATTCTTTGAGTTCTCTGTGTATATGGTCATGTTATAGTCTTCTATGTGTATGATCTGCAAATGACAATTTTATTTCATTCCTTTTAATCTCTACACTTATTTCTTTTTCTTGCCTTAATGCACTGCTAAGTTAGGATCTCTAACATAGTATATAATTGAAATGATAACAGTAGTTGTCCTTATCTCATTCTTGATCCTAGGGAGAAAGTTTCTAATATTTTACTATTAATAATTATATTTGCTCTGTGTTTTTTGTTGCTAATCTGATAAAGAAACTTCCATCTATTCCTAGTGTGCTTTTATAATTAATGGTATTGATTTTTATGACATTCCTTTTCTGCATCTATTGAGATAACCATATTGTTTCTCTTCTTTCTTAATGTGGAGAATGATGTTGATTGATTTTCAGATGTTAAAACAAACTTACATTCCTGGAATATAGCCATCTTGTCATGATGTGTAATTCTTTATTTATGTATTAATGTTTTGTTTAGGATATTTGCACCTATGTTCATGACAGAAATTAGCCTATAATTTTCTTTTGTAATGTCATTTTAAGAGTTGAGGAACAGGGTTATGCTGGCCTCATGAATCGAGTTGGAAATTGTTCTGGCTTCTTTTTTCTCTGGAAGAGCTTTTGTAATCTTAGTGTTACATTCATCCCTAAATACTTTGTAACATTTACCAATGAAGCCATCTGTGCTTGGAATTTTCTCTGTGGGAAAGGTTTTAATTACAGAATTAATTTATTTAATAACTGTTGGAGTATTCAATTATGTACTTTTTTAATTTGTGTATTAGTTTTGGTAAGCTTTTTTCCCCTAGAAATTTGTTCATTTCATCTAAATTTTCAAATTATTTGGTATAAGGTTATTCCTAGTATCCTCTCATTATCTTTTCAATGTCTGTAGGTTCTATAGTGATGTCTCCTTTTTTGTTCACCAGTAATGTGTGTCTTTTCTCACATTTCCCTTATTCATCTTGCCAAAGGATTTATCTGCCTTTTCAGAGAATAAACCTTTGGCTTTATTGATTTTTTTTTTTTGGTGAGGAAGATTTGCCCTGAGCCAGCATCCTTTGGCTATTTTCCCCTTTTTTGCTTGAGGAAGATTAGCCCTGAGCTAACATCTGTGCCAGTCTTCCTCTATTTTGTATGTGGGATGCCTCCACAACGTGGTTGATGAGTGGAATATGTCTGCGCCTGGGATCTGAACCTGCGAACCTGGTCCACAGAAGCGGAGCATGTGTAACTTGAACCACTTGGCCATGGGGGCTGGCCCCTGATGTTTTTTTTTAATTGTACATTTGTTTTCTCTTTCATTAATTTCTGTTTTCATCTTCATTATTTCTCTCCTACTGTTTTTCTTTTTTGATTTATTTTATTCTTCATTTTATAAGATGAGCACCTCATTGACTTTCAGCCTTTTTTCTTTTCTAATACGTGCATTATGCCTGTCACTGTCCCTTTAAGTTCAGCTTTAGCAGCATCCCACAAATCTTCATTATTATTTGGTTAAAAAAATTTGCAATTTTCATTGGATTTTTTTTTTTGATCCATGAGTTATTTAGAAATAACTAATTTCTAATTGACTAATTTCCAAATATTTGTGTATTTTTGGATATCTTTTTATTCTTGATTTTGCTATTTATTCTACTGTGGTAGGAGAACATACACTTTATGATTTCAATCCTTGAAATATACTTAGAGTTGCTTTGTGTTCCAGCATGTGGTCAGTTTTGGTACATTTTCCGGGTACACTTGAAAGCATGGATATTTTACTATTTTGGATGTTGTTTTCTATGTATGCCAATTAGGATAAGTGAGTTAGTTTTGTTTTTCATATCTTCTATAAATATACATATATCTATAAATATATATTTTTTGGCTGCTGAGTGAAGTGTGTTAAAATCTGCAAGTAAAGTTATCTATTTCTCCTTTCAATTCTGCTTAATTTTGCTTTTTATATTTTGAAACTTTGTTAAATTAATACATACATTAGGTATGTATTAATTTAGAATTTTATATATTCTTGGCGGATCGACCCTTGTATCATCCTGAAATGTCTAGTAATACCTCTTGCTTAAAGTCTATCTGATTGTAGATAGGTGCATTTAGATGCACTATTTTCCTTTTGTTTATGTTTTCATGGTATTCCTTTTTCTATTTTTTTTACTTTCAACCTTTCTATATTCTTTTATTTCAGAATCTATCTCTTATAAATAGTACAAATTTGAGTTTTATTTTTATATTCCATCTGATGCTGTCAGTCTTTTAATTCAAGTACATAATACATTTACATTTAGGATAATATTTTAAATGCTTAAGTTTAATCTACCTTCTTTCTATTTGTTCCACCTGTTCTGTTTTTTTTTCCCTCTCTTCTCTCCCGTTCTCTTGGAATAGGCAAGTATTCTGATTATTTCACCCCCCATTACCTTTTTATTTATATATTTTAACTCTTCTGTTAGTGGTTATTTTATATATT